GAGAAGGCCCAAGGCCCCATAGCGGCTTGCATTGCTTCACAGCTGGGCCTCATCAGGGCACCTCCAAACTCCAAAAAAGGAAGGGGAATCTGCAGTTCTCTTTGTAGCTCCTGCTGTGTAACATTAGGCAGAGGCTAAATTAGCACCTCCTTAGATCCAAGAGCCAGTATACCCAGTGGTCAGAGGGGGACCATCCAGATTACAACTCAGATCCATAAGGGACACACTCAGGGTGCAGGCTCAGTGAGCACCAAAGCCCCACTGAAGCAAGTCTTGCCCCAGAGGGTGTCTTCAGCACAGAAGTTCTCCCTCTGCAGACACAGCTGATTCTCACTGCCAGTTGGCCTGGAGGTCAATTCCTCCCAGTGATCCTACAACAATCAAGGCATAACTACAATAAGACTGTGCAAAAAGCCCACAAGGGAGTACACCAAGAGTGTCCACCTCAGGTAACTGGGGAGGCTGAGCCACTGGGCCCTACAGGACACCTAGCACACAAAACCACTCTACCAACACAGGGAAGCATAAAAAATGCGGAGACAAAGAAACAGGTCACAAATGACAGAAATGGAGGAAAGCAAACGACTGGATATAGAGTTCAAGTCCACGTTTATAAGGTTTTTCAAGAATTTTATGGAAACTGCCAATAAATTTAGTGAGACCCTGGAGGATATGAAAAAAGACCAACTAGAAATTAAGCATTCACTGACTGAAATAAAGAATAATATACAGAGATCCAACAGCAGACAAGAGGATCCCAAGAATCAAGTCAAAGATTTGAAATACGAAGAAACAAAAAATACCCAACCAAAAAAGAAAAAAGATCCCAAAAATATGAAGATAGTGTAAGGAGCCTCTGGGACAACTTCAAGTGTACCAACATCAGAATTATAGGGGTACCAGAAGAAGAGAGAGGGCAAGATATTGAAAGCCTATTTGAAGAAATAATGACAGAAAACTTCCCCTACCTGGTCAAAGAAATAGACTTACAAGTCCAGGAAGCACAGAGAACCCCAAACAAAAGGAACCCAAAGAGGACCACACCAAGACACATCATAATTAAAATGCCAAGAGCAAAACACAAAGAGAGAATCTTAAAAGCAGCAAGAGAAAGACAGTCAGTTACCTACAAGGGAGTATCCATATGACTGTCAGCTGATTTCTCAACAGAAACCATGCAAGTCAGAAGAGAGTGGCAAGAAATATTCAAAGTGATGAATGCCAAGAACCTACAACCAAGATTACTTTATCCAGCAAAGCTATCATTCAGAATAGAAGGTCTGATAAAGAGCTTCACAGATAAGAAAAAGCTAAAGGAGTTCATCACCACCAAACCAGCATTATATGAAATGCTGAAAGGTATTCTTTAAGAAGAGGAAGAAGAAAAAGGAACTCTTACCATTTGCCACAGCATGGATGGAACTGGAGAGCGGATAAATACCACATGATCTCACTCATTTGTGGAATATAATGAACAACATAAACTGATGAACAAGGACTGATCCAGAGACGGAGAGGCATTGATTAGACTGTCGGGCCTTGGAGGGAAGGTAGGGGAGGGTGGGGGTAAGGGGGAAATATCAACCAAAGGACTTATATGCAAGCATATAGGCCTAACCAATGGACACGGACAACGCGGGGGGGGGGGTGTGTGAGAACATGAGCGGGAGTGGGGTGGGGGGGTAGAGGGTAACGTGGGGATAAGGACACATATGTAATATCTTAATCAATAAAAAATATATTAAAAAAATATATCCTCGGGTGGGGATTAAAAAAAAAAAGTATTTCTTTAGTGAATAAAATTTTGAACAAATTCCATACCTCTTTAAGGTTTTCTCATCTATAAGATGGAGATAAATATGTACCTGAAAGTGTTTTGTGAAATTTTTATGATGTAAAGTACTGAAGCTATTGCTTGGCATTTAATAAGTGTCTAGTGAACATTAGTTATTGTGAATTTTTAAATGTGCCATTTGGACCAGCTGTTGGGAAATGTTAATGTCACTGAAGACTGCATTGGGTTGTTCATATAGATGTCTCAACTCTCCAGGTTACAGAATCATGGATGGACAGCTCACTCATTCCTAAACATCAAGATTATTGGAGAATTCCACATTCAAGCGTCTAACAGGCCCTAAATCTTTCATTTACTAGTTGTCTGGAAAAGATGATAAAAGGAGGAGAAGGAATTAGTATCCTCCTGTTCTTACCCCATTATCTAACTTAAAATCCTGAGTGGTGTTAGGGACTAAGATTTGGAAATTCAGATCTTTAAAGCTGTTACCACAAGGGAAAATAAAAACTTTACTGTTTAACATTGGCACATATTCCAAAGTCCCTCCCTATTTAACTAGCTTTAAGCTTTCATATAAGACACTTAAGGGAAAAAGTATTGCCACAAGGCTAATGATGACAACAGCTGCCAGTGCACTTTCCATCCAGAACAAGTGAAGACTTGAAACAAATCTGAGCTCCAGTTTGTTTTAGAAGTCTCATTGTGACATGCCTGTGCCGGCAGAGGCTCAGAAAGCATTCCTTAACACTAGGACTCTAAGATGTGTTGGATGCCAGAAGCCCAGTGGTAATGAGAGAACAGTTGGGAAGCTTCATTCAGAGGGTGTTCTTTCATTGTGGGCGTACTGGCTCTGAAAGTTTGGTGCAGGGAGCCACAAGAAAGAGTGGGCCAGTTCCTTTCCTTCATCAAAGGTTGTAGTCCAGCTAATTCATTATTTATACCTCTATCCTTCAGACACTTACTGAATGCCCACTGTATTCAAAGGCACCATGTTGATGATTAAAACAAGTAAAATAGTATAATTAGGACCATAAGTAAATGATAAACTTCATTTTCTTGTCCTCGTGTATTTTGGAGAAACCCATTGGAATATTTTAAATAGACTAAAAATACATAATATAACTACAGAGTAATGAACTTGAATCTTTTATATTGAATTGAGAATTTACAATGTGCAGCACACAATTCTAGGTACTGAGCAAATCCGAAAGATAAGATGGTGGATTATCTAATAACGAGGTTGATGTGAGAACAGCTTTAACAGCTTCACAAGGAGAAATCTGTATTTTTTCGGGGAAACACTCTGGTTGTAAACAGATGGTCCCTTTACTGGGTCTTAGCTTTCTACCTGTGTACCAGGTAGATAGCCCCTTTTAAAACCTTAAGTTGGTAAATTGTGATCTCAACTTTCATAGTTATTTGTGGGTTTTCCATATACATTTTTGCTGTGATCACTTTCCTACTTTAATTTGAGTGATTGGTGGAGGCCCATCTTCCCCTTTTCCGCATTTTAATATTTCAGTTCTGTAAGTGTCTATTGGAATAAACTGTGTATATTTGGGGTCTCTATTTCAAACTATATTTGCCCTTCACATGTAGAGTGAGAGGGCGTCATGGGAAAAATTTATACACATTCTTTTAAAAATCTGTGCTATCTATTAAAGTTGTGTTGGATAAAGAATCCTTAACATCATAAACATGTACTGTATTTCTACCTTCTAAAAGTCTACGAACAAACAGAGTTTTACTAAACTATTACCATCAGGTTAATAGGCTAAGACAGAATCATAAATGTTCTTTATTTTGTGAAAAACTGGTTATATTCATTTGTAACCACTCTTCCAACCATAATCCTCATGGCAGTAGGTAAATTTTATTTAACTTTTCCTCTTCACTTCTAGCCAACTGCATTGTGCCTTGAAATATAAAATCTATTCCTAGCAGCTCTTTCTGCGTGGTCGGTTTTTAGATGTCTACTTTAATGTCCAGGTTCATAATCCATATTTCTTCCTGTCTTTGGCAGTTCCATTTGCCACGTATTATATCCTACTTAGCCTTAGAACATATATCAACATAGATGTGATTTCTGCTCTCTATTTGGGTGCACAAGACATATATCTTTTGGGAGAAATAGTGCCTGCCTATATGTACTTTTTTCCATGAAATTTTTATTTTGTAAAAAAACCATGGAGGTCTTCAGATTTAATAAGTGTTAAGTAGCATTGAAAAGCTAGACACACAAAGAGAAAAATCTTTTAGAAAATAATTTGTTGTGTGGAATGATTCAAAATATTAGATGGTGGCACAAACTTAAAAAAATAGTTTTCTATTTGTGTCACTAACCATTCAATTGAATAATTTTTGGTGTATTGGGATTTTTTTGGTGGTGTTGTTTGTTGCTTTAAATGACATAACCAAATGGTCCAGCTATGTAGGGATTCAAATTGTTGTCAAGCAATGTGATATTCTATTATTTTTTTAATCCTAAATACAAATTTTATTTTAATAGAATTGAATGTATTGTAGTCTTTCAGCCTAGTAAAATAGAAAACAGCAGAAGAAAGTAGAGACAACATTGACCAAATGTTTTTGGAAATTATAAAAGAGAATGCTTCTGATTTCTGAAAACAAAACTACCTCTGGTAGGTCAATGGATAACAAACCTCACATCTAGTTGAATGGGGTTACATATAGTTAGACAAATGGAGAAACCAAATAACAGCTTAATGGAAGCAATCAACAATTTCAATTCTTTGAAAGTGCAGGCATAATTTTAACGAATGTCTATTAAGTTTCTGGTTCCAAATAAGATGGAGCAAGAACATTTCATCTTGTCTCTACCTCCCCCTTCCCCCCCCCCCCCAAATATAGTTATAAAACCTGGACAGAACACATGGAACAGATACTTGAGGACTCTGAAAAGTAAATAGTAGCAAGCAGATGGCACAAGAAAAGAATTCAAAACACCACCAAATAGGGTGAGATTACCATTTTTTGTCCTCTGGTAATTTCCAGTTTGAACTTAAGGTAGCCCCAAATCAAGAAGCAGGCATAGGCATGATGACTGATCCAGGAGAAAACCTCTAGTTCTGGCTTGAGGAATAGGAGAGGGATCAGCTAAAGCGTAGAGAAACGTGGGGGAGGGGGAGTCCTGTTCTGCCGTTTCCTCCTTTGACTCTTTTCTATTCTCTTGTGCATCGTCCTTAGGCAGTCATGCCACGGTAGTGGCAGTGGCAGCAAGAAGAGCAGCAACAGCTGGGGCCCCCAGCACCTAAAACAGGGAAGAGAACATTTCTCTATGTTGAAGCAGCTGTGGTCCCAAAAGGCTGAGGTGAATCCCTGTTGCTGTTCTCTCTCTCGCTCTCTCTCTGTTGTCCCCATGCTTGGCCTCAAGGAGGGGCCAATCTCAGGAAGTGTGGAGAGAAGTCCAGGTTCTTTTTCAGAAATTTGAAAAGGGGGCCCCAGGACACCAGGAATACCAGAAAGATCATAGAGAAAGCGGCAGTCTGGGAAGAAAACCCAAAACAGCTAGGGCACTGCCATTCCATCCTTTGATTCTATGAATTTGATGGTGAATTTATGTGAATCCATAGAAATAGAATCATGCAGTATTTTTTTTCCTGTGGCTGGCTTGTTGAGCTTAGCATAATGTCTTCAGAGTTCATCCATGTTGTCACATATTGCAGAATTTCCTATTTTTAATGATTGAATAGTATTTCATTGTATGTATATACCACATTTTTTTTTAATCTATTAATGTGTCAATGGACATTTAAACTATTTCACAATTTAGCTATTGTGAAAAGTGGGAGATCCTGATTTCATTCTGGTGAGGGGGATAAAAACTCAGAAATGAAATTTCTGGATCATATGGTAGTTCTATTTTTAATTTCTTGAGGAAACTCCATACTGTTTCCACAGTGGCTATACCATTTTGCATTTCTCTCAACAGTGTATAAGCATTCCATTTTCTCCACATCCTTGCCAATGCTTGTTGTCTTATGTTTTGTTTTGTTTTTTGATAATAGGCAACCTGACATGTTTGAGGTGATATCTCATTGTGGTTTTGATTTGCATTTCCCTGATGATTAGTGATGTTTCATATAATTGTTGGCCATTTGCATATCTTCTTTGGAGAAATGTCTATTCAAGTTCTTAGCTTATTTTTATTTTTATAATTGAATTCATTGAGGTGACATTGGTTAATAAAATTATATAGGTTTCAGCTATGAAATCTACAATACATCATCTATAAATTGTATTGCATGTTTATCACCCCAAGTCAAGTCTCCTTGTAAGAGTTGGAGTAGTTAAACGAGGATCTGAGATTTGGCATTTTTGACTAATCACCAAAAAGCAACTAATAAAGACTTACTTCTCTTAAAAAAAAAAAATGAAGGCAAAGCAATATAATGGCAAATATCTAGGTAAACGTAATAGACAATTCTTATTCTTTCAGTTCTTTAATATATATTTGATAATTAAAGCAAAAACAATAACATTTTCTGATAAAGTTTTCAATGTAAATCTGCCATGTACCATTTCTCCCAAGTAAATATATTTTTTATTTTCAAAGAATTACTCTTTAACCTTTCTGTATGTTCCTGGTGGGGCTGCCAATCATAGTACATCTTTCTTCATAGGCACTAGAGTGGGCCAGTGGTCTATGCTGGGCCAACTAGATTCTCTCTGACTCTAGAGTAGAGATTCTGCAGGGTAGGTAATCAATTATACTAAGTTACTCAATGGTAGAACTCGGAGAAATTCCGTAAGTTCCCATTGTTGACAACCTTGCTGGGGTCCAACCCCAGCAGGTCCAGGGGTCCCCAAAGGTGTGGACGGAGTCAACGAAGAAGGAATGGCACGGAGGCAGCGTTCAGTTGATCAGCAGCCTAACCAGGATCTCTAGCCAAGTTCTGGTTAGGATCTGTAGCCAAGTTCTGATTCGGTTCTCTTGCCAGGTTCTGTAGCCATGTTCTCTCGCTAGGTTCTCCAGCCAGGTTCGGTTGCCAGGTTCTGAGGCCAGGTTCTGTGACCAGGTTCTATCCAGGTTCTCCAGCCAAGTTCTGTAGCCAGGTTCTGTCCAGGATCTTTTGCCAGGTTCTGTATCCATGTTCTCCTGCTAGGTTCTCCAGCCAGGTTCTGTAGCCATGTTCCCTCGCTAGGTTCTCCAGCCAGGTTCAGTCACCAGGTTCTAGTCAGGTTCTCTTGCCATGTTCTATCCAGGTTCTGTAGCCAGGTTCTGTCTCTAGGTTCTTTGTCCTGTTGTCTTGTTACATCTGTATTTATACCAGTTGATTCCAATCCTATTAATCTCTATTCCAAAGGTTAGGGCGTTTCTTATCTTCATTCCAGGGAGTAAAGATTAAGTGTGATTGTTTGTAGTTAAAGTGATTAACTACCCACCTGGCACTTAGTTAAGGGGTTTTATTCCCTCCCTAACTTAAGGGGAAAATCCCTACCTGGGGAAACAACCTTTCTCAGAGAGGTGACCTTAGTTAAAACACATAGCGCTAAGGGGAGCAAACATATTAAGAACAGTATGCCATATACGCCAGGTCCCTTGAAACATATGCTGTGCAGATGTTTCTTCCCTGCAGCGACTGTGTCAAGCAGCAAGGATGGACCGGCTCCCGGCACAACCTAAGTCTTCTCAGCTCCCTGCCCTTTCTGAGGAACAATTGTTCACCTCTTTCTTCTATTTAATTCAGTGAACTCACCTGTCTCCTCCCAATATCATGTCCTTTACTTAAGTTAATCAAAATCAGCTTCTGTACATATAACTAAAGACACTTAACTAATATACTGCCATCCCCCTCTAACTACCCCCTGCCAGAGTGGGGAGTGGAGAAGAGCTTGCATTTTTAAAGAGATATTTAAAAGGTGTGAAAAGCATTCATTCAAATAAATAAGATTCTCATAGTGAAATGAGATAAAAGTAGACAGAAATTGGACTGAGGGTTAACATACGTAGATATAATACACAAGACAAATACAATGTCATGTAGGGAGGGTAAAGGGATCTATATTATGGAAAAGCTGCTAAGACAATTCAATGGATAAAGGATCATCATTTCAGCAAATAGTGTTGGACCAATTGGATATATAAAATAATTAACCTTCACCCTAACCTCATACCTTACACAAAAATTAAATCAAAATGGATCATAACTCTAAATATAAATTGTAAAACCATAAAACTTTTAGATGAAAATATAGGCAAGAATATTCATGACCCGAGGTTAGGCAAAGAGTTCTGAGATAATAACACTGAAAGTGTAATTTATAAAAGAAACAACTGATAACTTGGACTTCATCAAAATTCAAAACTTTTGCTTTGCAAAAGACACTGTTAAAAGAATGAAAAGACAAGATCTTGATATTATTCAAAATTTGCTGATTCGCTTATATAGGTGCCCATTTTTTTCTTCCTTTTTATTCACTGTGTTAGAATTTAACCCTGTGACCTCAGGCCGTGTCTTTATCCATCTCTTGGGCAACCATCTCTAATTTTCTTCTCGGCAGGATAAAGGTAGAACTCCAAGGGCTCTCTTTCACTCAGGCCGTGGACCATGAGAAGCAGGTTCCTTTGATTCACAGTTCCTAAGAGTGCAGCTAATCTACTTGTTTCATTTCACTACCTCAGTCCTTACATTCAATATAGTTAGATAATAACTAAATGAGATTGCTACCAACCAGTTACCTAATATTTAGAAATCAAGAATAAATTTTTAGCACTGCCAGCGTGGCTCAGTGGTTGAGCGTCAACTCACGAACCAGTAGATCATGGCTGGATTCCTGATTAGGGCACATGCCTGGGTTGTGGGCTTGATTCCTAGTTGGGCATGCAGGAGGCAGCCAATCAGTGATTCTCTCATATCATTGATGTTTCTGTCTCCCTCTCCCTCTCCTTTCCTCTCTGAAATCAATAAAAATATAAATAAAATAAAAATAACGAAGGGACCAACCTTGTAGCTCTAGGAAAAAAGAATAAAATTTTATTTTCATTATGTATATAATGCATCTGTGGATTATCTGTAGCAAATGCTGACTCTCAGGTTTGCTATACCCTCACTTGCTTGTGGCATGCCACTTATAGGCATGTTCCAAATAAGGAAAATAAATCTTAAAATTAATCTAAGCAAAAACATAGGGAGATGGCACTGTTGTTGCTAAGGATTATTTACCTGAAAGATTAAATTCTGAATTTTCGTTTCTCTACTGTTAGAGTAGTCTTGCAAACAGTTTCCTCTCTACATAAAATATTAAAAGTTAATTTAATAAGTTAATGTAATACCCAAGCAGGAAGACTTTTTAAAAAATATCTTTTTATTGGTTTCAGAGATGAAGGGGGAGAGAGAGAGATAGAAGCATCAATAATGAGAGAGAATCATTGATCGGCTGCCTCCTGCACACCCCACACTAGGATCGAGCCCGCAACTTGGGCACTCTGACCAGGAATTGAACCGTGACATGTTGACCTCTTGGTTCATAGGTCGACACTGAGCTATGCTGGCCATGCTCAAGCAGGAAGAATTAAATGTGATTTTAGGATTTTTTTCTCACCTAGAACAAATGCACTTTAGGTCTCCACTTTATTATAAAAACCTCTCCATTAGCTAAAAATTTGCTTTTTGTCTCCTAGCCTGAATGATTTTATGGCAGTTAATGAACAGATAATCATCTTTTTGCTGTGCCACAAAAACTGGCCAATATGTTGGAAAAAATCAGTTAAATCAGTTGTTTTGACATTACACAGATTCAAACTGATCAATTTGTGAATAGATCAAACTCAGGATTGAATGAAACACATGAATGATTTTAAGTTTCTGGGTGCTCATCGGTGGTAGTTTTGAATGTTTTACTCTATTACATTTAGTCCTTCCTCATCTATTTTCCATAATGTTAGAATGGCCTTTTAGCTGAGCTTGATGATGCCAACTTACTCCATTTCAAACTGTCATTTGATAATTTTAAAAATCTGATTATGCTACTCTCTTGCTTAAAGGCCCCTCAGTGGCTTTCTGTTATATACAAAACAGTTAATATTCTTTAGCTGGCCTTTAGGACTACAAAAGCTAGTCCCAGTCTACCTTATTAGACTTATTTCGTTTAATATATTTGCCTCATACTGTATATCCTTTATGTAGGTGTTCCCACCTTTCTCTGAGTATAGAATATTCTTTCAGGTGTTCATGCTTTGCACATCCTGTTTAATTAGCCTGTAGTATTCAGTCCCCACCCCACTCCCCACACCCCTGATATGTGGTGAACTTTTTTTAAATCGTCAATTTCCAATTTAGATGTCACCTTCCTTGTGAAGTAAGTGTA